AGCAGGATTTCTTTCTCTTCAACTTTTCTCATGGGCTCAATGAGGCACTTGAGAAGGAAAAGACAAAAAATAGAGCTAGTGCTGGATCCTCCACTGTTGCCCTCAATGCAAGCTTCTGGCCAAATTTGTTTCATGGTATCGTTTGTGCCTTTTGTTGGCACCACAATTCCACACGGTAGGACCACCTTTGAAGGAAGCGGGGCCAAGGGAAGCCAGGAAGTGCAAGTAATGTGTTCCCAAGTGGCTGTCGAAGTCATTGTGGAGGCTTTGTTCTTCAAGCTGTTGCTAATGACTCCTTTCGAGAGATTGTCAGCCCTCTGCGAAAAGCCTTTCTCGTCCACCACAATCACTCTATGGGCTTGGTCAGCTTTGATTCTACCGTCCGAATCGGAAATTCCCAACTCTCTCAGGAGTGCTTCCCACTCGTTGTAAGTCTTCGTGATCGTCTCTGCATTGCAAGCTGTTGCTTCTACCGGTGAGCGGGCTTTGAGTTTCGCAACTGTCAGCCACTCACTTTTCGGCTGCGTCGCCTTGACCCACTGTCGAAAGGTCTCCCAACGGCTTGGAACATCAAAGTCGTCCATCCTAGTCGGAGGTCGCTGAAGCAGTGGCTCTACAACTCTAAAGCTGGGGACAAAATAAACTTAAAATGAACAAATGAAGTGAACCGCGCGCTAAACAAGTCCTAGTATCGATGCATCCAATCGGGCCTCTAAGGAAGCAGGATCACCTAGCGCATCATCCAGAACACCACTCTTTTCCATTGCCATGAAGCACAGCGCCCGTCTGCAAGTTTCAACAGACAAGGCGTTGCCATGAGTTGCATGCCACTGGATGAACTGCAGGAAGACACGCTTCTCCGCATCCGACAAGCTGTGCCCCTGGCTTCTTCCTGTACGAAAATTCAAGGGGACTTGTCTGGGCAAAGTGCCTTCGGTCTGCAGCAATTTGAGTATCGATCCCAACTTGTTCCTGTTGATCTTGAGAGGTTGGAGATCTGCACGGATGGAAACTGCATACGCACTTCCACAGCCATCGTCCCCGCGGTGTATCATGGTAGCCAGTGCGCCGTACATCTCCCACCTTCTCTGGTCGTTGGCAACCTAGGACGCATGGAAATGGATAGGAAATCCGTTTCTTGAACTCTCTTTGGGCCTTGTGGGTTTGTGGTTTTGAAAAAGCAAAAACGGACCAAACAACACAAAGAAGTGGCAATGCTTGCGTGTGTCTTTTGCTTGCCGTGATCTTTCAATAGCAGCTTGAGGTCATACGAGGTAGGAACATGCAAAATATCATCATTCTTGCCTTCCTCTGCAATCCCTGCCTTGCTGTCCGCAGCCGGTGTTGAGACATCAAGCAAGGCATATCTCACAGCTGAAAAGGATTCTCCCCACCTTTTCTTCTCCAAGTCCGACTGCTCCAGCCAATGAGATAGAGCATCTGCTTTTGGCGCCCCACACAAGATTCTTGCAGCTTTCTGAAAAACAGTGCACCAGCTCACTGCTTTTGACTTCTCAGTCAAGGCTTCCAAAAAATCTGCATGCGGAACTGCTGCTCTCGGTTGCCATTGTGGGAATAACTTGGCGGCTGCTTCCTCAAGCTTTGTTTTTTTTGGGGGGTCTGAAGCTCTGTCCTCTCACTTTTCTCATCGACGCCAGGCTTGGCGTCAAGAATCTCCTCCTCCAATTTCTCTTGCTTTTGCCAACATTCAAAGCAGCATTCAGGAACTGGAGATTTGTTCTCTGACGTCACTGGGCGCGAGCACTGCACACACACAACATTCCGTGCATCTACAGAAAAGTCCTCGGCCACAGCGGCCAGAGATTGTAAAATTGCCCCACTTCCAGACCCAGAGTTTGCGTTCCCATCTGCTACACCCTCTGCATTGGAGCTCGACTGGGGCTTCAACAGCTCAGCAAGCTCGTGTTCAAAGCATTGCTTGCAGTATTTAGGTAAGCAACTGCGGTCACTGTTGGGGATATCCAAGTTGCACCCGCTACAGAGAAACGAGTCTGGTGGAGGAGTGGAAGGCGGTGGCAAAGGTGCAGAAGCATCAGCCTCGCTGGCTGCGCATGCTCCTCAAGCAACCCACAAAACAGTAAACTTTGAGAGAAGTCACTGGGTTTTCGGACGATGTAGCGGACGAGGTAGCGGACGAGGTAGGAACCCTACACCTAAACATGCCATGCAGACATCTCCCCACATGTGCTAACCAAAAGCCTCGGTCAACCCTGAACGTCCTGAAACTTCCGAGAGATCCTGCTTCTTACAAACGACGTCACCGTCTACAATTCGACGTGCCAGGCGAGCGCGGTTCTCTGAAACCAGCAGGCTGGTATCATAGGAAAGACCCCATTCCTCGCACGCCTCAAGCAACCGGGAGTGAGAAAAACGGGCGATTACAGCTTCACTGTACTTTTGGGGAGCCATCAGGCTGCAGTCGGAACGAGAAGCAACTGCAATCCCTCAAGTCTTCTTTGGAACAATTCACGAAACTTGCTCGCAAAGTTCCGACTTCCTAGACAAACATGTCGCGCATGTGTACTCAACAAGGAACAGCCAGCTCATGCCTGCCAGGCTACAACAAGTGAAACCCATACGCTTGCTGCTTGGATTGCTGAGAAAAAACAATTTTCCAAGCGCATCAAGCGTCTAAAGGTAAAGCCTTCAGGTTTTTCTGGTTCCCCTAGATTCTGCACAGAATCTACAAATATATAGCCCAGGCTATCCCAAGCTAAACCCTACTGAGCCTGACTCAAACAAAGGTCACACTCACAAACATCCTCTGCTGCAAGCCTCTGACGCTTCAGCGCAAACAGAGACAGCACAGCTTCAAGCGCTCCAGACTCACGAACCAAGCAAGGAGACCGGCTGCATTGCAGAAGCCGGCACGACTGCACACAGCAAAAACATGTTCCACCCCTAGTCAAGCGCTTGTCCGCGCCAGGGGTGCGAAAGTATTCCCATCTCACCTCATGGCGCTTTGCGCCACAAATCAAGCAGGAACCAATGGCGTCAGGAACTCCTGGATCATAGGATCGTGTCGCTGGGTCAATCGCCTGCTCCTTCAACTGCAAGCGCGAAAGTTGCGAGAAGGCTTGAGCATGCTGCTCCCGCAAACGCTTCGCCAGCTTGGCCAATGAAATTTCCTGGGGGGAATCGCTCACTGCTGGTGACAAAAATTGATTGTGCCTATCAAGGCTTTTGGCCGTAGATTGGGGAAAGTTGACTGCTTCCTGTACATATCAAGTTTCTATTGAACAGTGCCCCTAATTTCTGGACAGCGTGTTGGAAAAAACCTTAGGCTCCTTCCATGGATGTTCTCAGGGTGTCTTTGTCTCATGACACTAGTCACTAGCCCCCTCTCCTAAAAACGGCGAGCGAAAGCAAAGGAACAACAACAGCAACAACAGCACCAGCCACAACACCAGCACACCGGGCCAAGCATCTGGAGGTTCTACGGGCTGTTGTCGTACAGCTTGAAGCTCCTGGAGGCGTGTAGCTTGAGGGAAGAAGTGAAGCGAAAAACACGAACAAAAACAGAACCCAGTGAAAGCGAACTCGCAAAGAAGCAGCGTCAGCACCAACAACATGACAGGTACACCAACAAAAGCAAACAAAGAAGACACAAGGAAGAAACGAACTACGAGTACAGTGTCGAGTCTCGACTCCCGATACCATGGTGGGTGTGATCAGGGCTTGCCACAAAAAACTTCTTATGACCACTAAGAACGATACATAAATAAATACAACAAAATATATATATATATAATATATATATATTAGAACTATAGTGCCTGGTCATGCAACACATAGAGATCATCTTTCACCAGCTGCCTCTGGTAATGGAAGAGACCCAAGCAATAACCCCATTAAAGGGCAGAGCTTCCTCTGACAATGGTTAGATGGGACAAGTTGACACGCGATGCCGAGAAAGCCCTGGAAACCTTCAGGCCAAATCCTTGGCCACTGACTCTGGTGATGCTTCCCGTGTTCTCTTCCTCTGCGGCGTTTCCATTGTGAAGCAATCAACGGAGCTGTGGCCACAAATCTTGGGCCAAAGAAAAGGCCAAGCACTGCATATGTCAATCCAAACAAAACCATGGTTCCAGCCCCAATGGAGCAACCACCTTTTGAAAACAGTGGACCCACAATCGCAAGTGACTTTCCCCATGTAACAGAAGAGCATGGGTTGCCTATAGAAGCATCTTGATGCATAGCTTTCACCAATGGCACACCGGTTTTTGGTCAGATCTTCCACATGATAGGCCTCATGATGGGGGTAAACCCAATGTACAGCACGGTGTTCAATTCCGAAAGGCACCGAGACATTAGACACCAAAGTGCTGCATCAGGTCATTATATAATTCAATATCATTGCTATGGTTTCCTTTAAACTCGAAACACAAGCAGCACAGAGTTCGCAACGACTTTTGAAAATAACAAATCACAATGGTACAGGCTCAAAATCATGAATTCGCAACGACTTTCCTGTTTGGGAGTATGCAACAATCAATCATACCAGAGACCTTCGCAGATTCTTCATGCTGTGAGACCTTCGCAGAGCGAATCCTAGGAGCCAATCCCATTCAGAAAGAAAAGCTGTCGTCTTGGTGGTGCAGCATCCAGCACAGTTGAGGAGTTTTCGACAATCCTCGCCTGCGAGTACACGCAATCCTCGCTGGAGGAAATTAGGCAGAAGCACTCTGGAGAAGGAAGCTCACGAGTCGTCAGTTGCCGGGAATGTTCTGTTTCCACATGTTACAACCACTAGGGATTGCATGGAGCAAAAAAAGTAGAGCTTCTGCTAGACAAGCGCTGCATGGGATCAGCGGACGGCTCCAAAAAGCAAGTGTTGCGATCAGAGTCACATGGTGTTCGGGGAAGAGTTGCCGTGGTCGCGTGCTATCTGAGATCAAAAAACACGAAAAGCTGGTCAACTCTGACATCCTTGAAGGGTATGATCATGCCAGTGTCCAATTGATGGGAGAGCTGGATGTTCACATGTGCCGCTCCAGAATAGCTGAGTGACACTCTGAGTGACCTCTGCGGACAAAAACGAATGCAAGGGAAAGCCCAAGTAGAGTCCACCAAGGGCACCATGATGGCATAAGCAGCTACTAGGAGCAAAGGGCATCGCTACTAGGAGCAAGAACGCTACTAGTATATAGCTTGAAGCTACTCGTAAGCAGCTTGATAAAATCTTCAAATAGATCTGAGGATGACCTGCTGACGACTAAATGAGCCCCGAACGTAGCGATGCCCAAAATGCTCCTAGTAGCAAACATTGCTCCTAGCAGTAAGGCCAGGAGCCCTTAGTAGCGTCCTTGCTCCTAGTAGTGATGCCCTTTGTTCCTAGTAGCTCTTGCAGGTTTTGGTCTTGGACTACACTGTAGTTTCACATATCATTACTAGGAGCAATGACGCTACTAGGAACAAGTGCATCGCTTCTAGTAACAAGTGCCTTACTAGTAGTAACAAGAAACTACAAACGGGGCTCCTGGCCTTACTACGAACGGAGCGATCGGACGCTAGCAACAAGGGGCATCGCGACCCGAACGGAGCGAGGACGAACAAGAATCCTTTCTTGGACTTCAGAAGACGCTCATGACCCAACTCTCCACGCTTAAGCTGCACCTCGGGTGCCTTGGAAAGTGCTGGGACCCATGGCCCTTTGATCGGCTGGGATGGGATGAGCAAGTGCAAAGGTGGTCAGTAGTTAGCGGTAGTTAGTGAGTAGTGGGTTTGATTCTTTGGGAAACCTCCACCATATCCACTGTGGTTGCTGGCATCTTGTTCAGGAGTCCCCCAAAATGCATCCAAGTGACCAAGAATCTCGTCCATGGTGAGGTCAGACATCATCTTCCTGCGCAAAGCTTCTCTCCGCAAGCGTTCAGCCTTCTGCTCCTCCCTGGCACGTTTCCGCTGTGCAAGCTCCTGTTTCCTGCGTTCCTGCAAGAATCTCTGCCGCTGCTTCTGCAAAGCCATCTCGTCCTTCTTCCGCAAAGCATTCTGCCATCGAAGCAGCAGCTTCCTGACTTTTTGTAGCACCTTGTCAGTAAGCTTTCGTGTCGCATCCGCACTGCGATCGCAACGATCGCGCAATCTAGATGGCCTGTGCTTGTTTCTGTCATTCATGCCCATATGCTGGCGCTCCCAGTACTGCACGTGCTTGTTACGCACGCCTGCATGCGAGACATACAAGGAACGAACTCTCCTCAGCTGCTTGGCACTTCGACCTTCGCCAGCACTGCGCCACATCTCGGCCACAGCTTTCTGAAAACGATCCCACAAGTCTTCTAGGTCCCCCAATCCAAAATGCCAAATCATGGTTGCTCGTCCCCAACTCCGACGCCGGGCGCATTCTCGAAAGGGATCCATACATCTGCGGAGATGTGCCACTTCTCTGACAGAGCGAACTGCAGGGGAGGACACATGTCTGCATGGTCCAAGAAAAAATCCGAAGCTTTGGTGCACGGCAAATCGGGGACTCAAGTCTTCATAGCTCCTGCCAGCGTTGGTACTTCCAGCGTGATCGTGTTTCATCTATCTCTATTAATCTCTGCTTGCATGAAAAGTCTAGTCTGCATGAGCAACCACTTGTGATATATGGTAAGTTATATATATATAATATTGAGCCTGTCTTGTTAGAGACTCAAATGAAATGATTTTTTTACTTACGCTCATCAAAGCATCAATTAAGCTGGGCAAAACAAAAGGCAGTCAGCCAACTTGTAGCTTTGTTGCCCAAGCCTGCCATGCTCAATGAGAGATCTCTCCAAAGCTTCTTGCAGGCAACTCTCAAAGTTTGTTTCGGCATCCCTCAAGGTACCATGCATCTTTTGCTTAATAGATGTGAGAATCACCAAGAATTCAATCGCCGTTGCCAAGTCGCAATACCGGGACCAAATTGAAATTGTCGCGATGACAGTGTTGGCTCTGTAGATGCGACTGTCCTCCGAAATCGTCTTTCGACTACCACACCTAGCAATACCTTTGATTGCCACGTACTTCTTCCTCCGTCGTTTTCCGTGGGACACAGCTGGCAAGCTCAAAGCACTGCCGCCCAACGCAAAAGGCTGGTGTGTCAGCGCGAGCATGGATCCATGTGAGTCGGAGACAGTGACAGGCTTAAGCGGCTTGACTTCCTGGGCACAAGGCCCACAAGGCCCACCAGGCCCACCAGGCATCGGCGTCACATCATCTGTTTCAGCCTCACGCTGAAGCACAATCCACTTTTCAAGAAGCAAGCGTTGCTTTTGCGAGAACTCCCGTGCGATGACATCGTTTCGGAGCTTGCGGGGCAATCTTTTCAAGAGTTCATAGAGCTTTGTCAATAGCTTCTCATGTGAGGATGCATCTGCAGATTCGGCACCTGAATGTCTTGAGCGGTCTGACTCTGCAGCTGAGTGCTTTTGCTCTGGGCGCTTCTTCTTTGACTTTGCCCCCGTTCTTTTACAGCTATATGTTTGCTTTGTCACCTTCTTGAGAGTTGGCAGTTGATCGTCGTACCGCTTGCGGGCTTCTGGGTCTGCCAAGGTCTCAAATGCCTGGTACACCGCGTGAAACGCCTCCTTGCTCCCACCTCACATCAGGTCTGGACACCACATCGGCAATCCTTTTCAATCGAACCAAAACCATGTCTGCTCGAAAAAAAAGGAAACAACGGCAATCCATGATTACAGTAACAAGGTTCGCTAGTAGTAACAAGTGCCACGCTAGTAGTAACAGGTGCCTTACTAGTATAGTAACAAAAGGCTATCAATTTACATTTATATACAGTAATTACAAAGCCATCCCGTGCAATGCCATTGGCTGCTCAAATGCTGCTCGCCTTTGTCTGGATGGACCTGCAAGGCGCACCGCTTGAAGGCGACCTTGATCTCCTCAGCGGTGGCATGCGCAGCGATGTTGAGCACACAGTAGTAGGAAGCCATGGCGAGCCGCCCCGTCACTCAGCACTCAAGATCATGCATATTATGAACTCACACCAGAAGATTATCCAACCATTTCCTTTGAAACTGTATCACTAAGTGTCATACTGTATCCCGGATCCTCCTATCTCTCGCACTAATTATCCTCCTATCCTCACTCCTCCTTCTTGGGGTCCAATCCCCGGTTGAAAAAACGGCTTTGCAAGTCTTTGAGGTGCCCCAGAATTCTGGAGGCAACGCTGAAAGAACAAACAACAGTCTTCCACGTTGTTTTCTTCTCAAGTGCTCTGAGCAACAAATCATGCAGGTTTCAAAAAAGCGTTGCAGTCTGCTGGGCCGGTAATGGAGCGTTCGCTTGCTCAACTTGTCTTTTGGCTTGGCTTTAAAGTCACTGATGGACACTTGAGCTTCGGAGATGGATTCGGACGGTTGGTTTCTGCAAATGGTGAGGGGCCTCCACCCGAACATGACCAAGCAAGTCTTGGAACGGGAGCTATCTAGAATCTAGGGTGGTTATATATGCTTGTTGGCGACATAGGTAAGTCCTGCCCTGGGTGAGGTTCTATCGACACTGGTGAATCAATTGTAAGTCAGGACGCTTCTCATCAGTGGTGAAATGGTAAATGGTCGCAAATGGTGCCGGAGAAGTGTGTCCTTATGCAGGAACGTTGTGAAGGGTTTACGGCTAATCAGGTGGTGAGGTGTTTAAGTAGCGGGTCCTAGTGGGGTACTGGGAGTGTTTTCAAAAATTTGATCACCGGTGGTACGTGTTCGTCTAGCAGAAAGAACCTCTACACAATCTGGACAGGGTTGCCTGAATCAAGGGCTGCGGCTAATAAAATGTTGCTGTTGCATCCGAAGCAGCACGAGTAGAACCAACAAGTTCCACTTTGCCTGACGGACTGACAGGACTTGAAACAACTCGTTGGAAGGTCGATATGGGAAAATGCCCCAACGCAGAAATCACAGCACTTTCAAGCGACCAGTCCGAGCCTAAGGATATCGCAATGGGATGAAACGATGCCGTTGAAGATGGATCCAAAAGTCTGAGAAAAAGTGGCGGTTGTGGCGCTGCTGCTGCCGTTGGTGACAAATGTGTTGTGCCGCTGTGCTTCGCAAGGAGCACCACGGCAACCCAAGGAGAACTGGCCTGGCACGATGCAATAGTTGGTGGTTTGGGCTTACAAAACGTTTGTTCATAAGGTGCTTCATCTCGGGCAAGGCCGGGCTAAAATCGTAGATCCATGTATAGATCATTGAAGTTAGGTGTGTATGCGTATAATGATCTATATGTCAAGCAGGGAGCAAGGACAAATGCAGGTGTCAGCAGCGCCCTGTCATTGACTCATGCTTTTCGCAACGCCAAGATTGTCCGACCCCCGCATCTCCGCTCATTTTCGGGGAGGTGCAAAGGATACGCAGAATGCTTGACGATCTCGTGAAAGGGACAGCAAACTGTCGGCACCTTTAAAGCCCTGGAGTCTTCTGGAGTTGCATCTCTCAATGGGTTCCAACCTCGTGAAGGACCCACGTCACTTGTGCAACTTCTGTGCCAGGCATCACGGGCAATCGACATGCGCAGGTTGTCCAGCAAGTGCACCCTGTACAAGGATAGCCTACATTGGCTGCTCTCCACGGCAGCCACTCACCTAGATCCTCAAGATTTGATCAAGGCTCCAGGTGGCTGCTTGGAGTTCAAAATTGCAATCTGCTGAAGGTGAGGTTCCCAGCAGCTGGTAGTCAGCTACCTTATCCTGCCTTCTTCCACATGTTCCCAGGAAAGTTGCAAATCTTCAGGCTTCCCTCACCTTCAGCACAACAAATCGGTGCACTTAGCCCTGAGTTCCGCTGCAGCAACAGCAGAATCGGTTGACCCGCGCTTTGAGGTTCGCGATCCTGGTCAACATCTGGACTTTACCTGAGCGCTGGGGAGATCGTGGGAGCGATTTCTAGTGACTTCTGCAACTAGTAGCTCCTGGCATCGCTACTAGGAGCAAGGACGCTACTGGGGGCTCCTGCCATTACTACTAGGAGCAAGAAGCTACTAGTAACAAGGGCATTTCTACTAGTAGCTAGGAATGACCTCAATGTACATTCAGAAGCACTGCTTGGCGAATAGTACAACAAACTCCCACAACACCACCACAGGTCAAATAGACTCTAGGCAGCTAGATTCGGGGATTGTACATATCATGCGTTTGGGCACCTTAAACTTCACCGGCCTCCTGTAATCATCTTTGGCTAAGGCATGCCAAGGCACTATCTCCTCCTTTGTGTCCAGTAGCATCCACCATCACCGTGTTGGCTGCAAAGAAGGCGCAAACGCCGGCTGCATCTAGGAGCACTTGCTGGCCCCTGCTGCACAGCGCTGCCGCCGAGGCCGCCAGCTCCTCTGAAGAGTCCTGGTAGCGTTCGCTGCCCAAAGCACGGCCCAGGGCAAAGCAATCCTGGACTTGAAAACTGAAAGTAACATAAACTAAACTAACACTCACATTATCTCAAATCTACCCGCCAAAAAAAATCCTACAACCTTGGAAACGAACAAATACCATCAAATACCGTGAGAAATCTGGTGAGGCCGGGCCAAGCATCCTCAGAATATGGGCTCACTTGTCCGAAAGCCTTCAGCGCTTTAGCAATGGCCACATGGCCATTGCGTCAGAAGCTACAGCCCACGGCAGTGGTGTAGCCAGCGGCAGCATCCTCCAAACCTACTCGATTGAGGGCTCTGCCTGGGGCCTTTTTGAACATGAAATGGTATGTCTCATACCCATGCTGGATCGGGGAATAGAGCACCGAGCACCATCGCAAGAAAAGGCTGCCGGTGGAAAGCGCAGGAGCCCACTTGTTCATGGGAGAAAATGCCATGAACTTCAACTTGGAGAACTCCTCGAAGAACTTCTCGCCATTTCCCACCATCAGTCCCTGGTTGACATCCTCCCTCACAAATCCAGCTCCCCAGCCCGATCCCTCACGAGGGCCCACATGTTTACATACCTCTGCTGCGCTACCAAATCTGGCTTTGCCCTCGCGCGTGGCTGGTAGCGAGGGTTCCTGCAAAAGACCCGATCCTTCAGCATCCACGGCGCGGTAGAATGCCCGGAAGCCCACGGCCAGTCCCACCACGGCAATCAACTCTGCCAAGCGGAGGAGCCGATCCGCGGGAGTGTCCGGAATGTGCTCCGAGGCCGAGAGGCAGCGATACAAATGCTCGGCTGCCTCCTTGTACCATGCTTCACCTCAAGCTGGGCATGTTGGAGAGGTTGAAGGCTTATATAGATAAGCTTCAGCATGGGCTTAAATAGGCTCAAGGGTGAAGTATGCTGAGGCGGAAATGTCGTGGCAGACCCCTAGTTTCAAGGAATTCAAGTCAAAACCTCCTCAAAGCAACGAGTGGCTCATCAAGTTCTGCAAGTTGCACAATGCGTGCACCACCACTCCCAAGCCATGGCAGTCCTCTGCTTCGTGGAAGGTGCACTTGGCAGCAGCCACCACCTGGAAGGTGACTGCTGAAGAAATGAACATTGTTAAGTGCGTGGAGCGAGGTGGCGTGCGGAACCACAATGGTGCAAGAGGGAAAGAACATGAAAGAGCAGGTGAACAAAAGAAAGAACTTCCAACAACTGTGCAAAGCGGCTGCATGACACCGAACGGCACTGAACTTTTCGCTTTGACCCGTCTAACACTCCAGGACAAATCAATCATTTTCCCGGCATCTTCCGTGACATCTTCCCTTGGTTTGCCCTGGAACGTCCACCACGCCACGTTCCAAAGGTCGTTCTTGTCCACATTCTTTCGCTCGACTTGGATCTTTCTGCAAGCGCCACAGGTGGCTGTTGCCTTCACTAGTAACAAGGGCATTACTGGTAGTAGCTAGAAGCTACTAGTAGTAACTAGTAGGAACTACTAGGAACAAAGGGCATCACATGTACCTAGAAACTACTAGGAACAAAGGGCATCGCTACTAGGAGCAAGGACGCTACTAGGGGCTCCTGGCCTTACTACTAGGAGCAAGAAGTTACTAGTAGCTAGAAGCTACTAGTAACAAGAAGCAGCACTAGCTAGAAGCTACTCCTGGCCTTCAAGGTCTCCCGCACGACGGCAGCACGGAGCTGCCCCGACAAAAAGTCCCCTGGTTCGACCGAATCGACTGGCACTCGGTCTGCCTCTGATCTGTCAAGAGTTGATTAATATTAGTTACTAGTAAGAATGCTCCTAGTAGCGATGCCAGGAGCCCCTAGTAGCATCCTTGCTCCTAGTAGTAAGGCCACGAGCCCCTAGTAGCTTCTTGAATGTAGAATGTCACTGGAACTCCACAACTTATGACTTAAATTCTATGTGAGTCATGATTAGAGAAGGACAAACTTCTCGGCTGGTCGTTGCTGGTTCTGCCTGGCCCGCAAAGCTCCTCGAGGAGCTTCACGTTCGCCGCTTGCATCTCTGCTGGCCGTCCCGACAATGCCGCCATTGGGGACAGCTTGGATGCCACGCACGATTTGGGCCAAAATGGCTCAATTGCGCAAGGTTCACAACCAAATGATATTGGCCTTTTTTTCTTACGGCTTACAGTTTCCCTTCACTGATGGCTTAGCTTGGTGTTGTGCTCTTGGCTCGAAAAAAATCCCTTGAAATACCTGTGAGGAAGGGTGTGCCTTGTGCTCTTGGCGTTCACATCTAGCTTGTTGACAAAGAAGCGAACAACTGACGCATACCCATGAAAGCCTCTGGTCCAGGTATCAGGATGCAAGCCACCTCCTGCACAGTGCGCGGCGCTTCTTCTCTCTGGAAGAAGTTCAAGCATTGCTATCTGGCAATGATAGAGCAACAGCCATCATTGCATCTGAAGCTGAAGAGCATCGCTACTAGGAACAAGAAGCTACTCGGGGCTCCTGGCCTTACTACTAGGAACAAGAAGCTACTAGGAGCTTTGCAAAAGTAACATGCAAAAGCCCGTGAAGTGGCACGGTCCCGCGGGCCCGCTCCTGACGTCGAAGTGAGGCCGCACACCAACTTGGGATAGGACACACAGAGGCCGACGTGCTCGCACAAAGGTCCATTAATATTGCCCACAAAGGTCTATGTGCAAAAATCTCTGCAAATGCCACATCTTTGGTGCTTTAAAATGCGTTAAATGCCAAAGTTGCCACTATGCTAGCCGCTGCTAGCCGCTGCTAGCCTTAAGTATTGAACTTCAATCTCACATGCTCAAGCTGTTGTCAAAGATGCTGAAAAGTGCAAACGATATTGGTTCAACATGTTATATACAGCATTTCTCTGCTCAGCTTGGTCGAGATCTTGAGCACGCTTGAGGCGGAGCCAGCTTCAAATAGCCTACGTTGCCCGAAGGTTTCCTGCTTGTAACAATTGGCGATGGCTAGAAGGCAATACGTGAGCATATGTGAGCATTTCCTACAGGCCGACTGATGACTGAGATCTAATGAGTGCTGCATACACGTCGTCGAGCGGTGGATGCCTTCCGCTGGTTCCAGCGTCGACTGAAGGCGTCCCCCAAAGGCCTGGCTGGATCTGAAATTCAGAAAATTGCGAAATGGAGGGGAACGTAGGGGAACATAAGAGTTAGAGGCCATCGCTAGTAGGTTGGAGGCCATGGCTAGTAGGTTAGAGGCCATTGCTATTAGGAACCATAGGAACAGGGGGGTCGATGGTCCAGGCCTGGATTAAAGTAACAGAATTTGACCTAAAACACCCTGTGACCGGTGCAGGCCAGTCGTTATGCGCCTCGATGGATTCCAAGAGGTCCTCGTCCTTGCGCTGGCGTCCGGAATGGAGCCATCGCCCCAGTATTAGTACTTTAAAAGGCCTTGTCAATGGAATGAGTTCTGCTTGTGGTACAGCCAAGTGGGTTCTGGCGAGCAAAAGGAGGGGACAGTGACCTATATAGACCTTTCCGATGCCATGCAGTAAGCTTTCACAAAGTTCAGTACACAGTGACAGGACCAGGAGGACGAGCAACGTTCTGGATCCAATTATTCGGTGGGTAACAGTCATGGTCCTCTACGCACCCTTAACACAAATGTCAACTCCTGTAATTTGTTACTAGTAGCTGCTGTAGCTTCTTGCTCCTAGTAGTAATGCCAGGAGCGCCGCTAGTGGCGCCCTTGCTCCTAGTAGCGACGCCCTTTGTTACTAGTAGCGTCCTTGTTACATGCCTAAGTGCTCGGATTGAACCTGTGGACTCTGCAGATAGTTTCAGGCTCTTGGCTCTTGACATTCCCCTCCCGTGCATCAAGAAATACGGTGAGCGCAACTGGTCTTCAATAGCGAGATTTAAAATGCTGGGATTCTTCCACTCTTTCGGTTAGTTCATTTCTCTTCCAACGACTCCTTCCCGTCACCATTTTGCATATGATGCGTAGGTGCATATGTTGCTTTAGCGACTGTCGCCAAGTGGGTGTAAGGATGGTGCAATTCGTGCTCCGCGCATTGCACTCTGAGAGTGATCGATTAGCCGATTAGCCTGATTAGCCCTAACGGATTGCAAACGAGTTAAAGCCGCTAAAGCCCTAGGCTTCAGCTACCTTCAGCTGCAACATGGCTTCATGATGCTTCATGAATCTTGAATCTTCGCCTCAGACCCGACACTCTCGAGTGCTGTCAATCTCCGGGTGCTTCTGCCCGGAAACGTCTCAGAGATGTGAGGTTTCACGACGGTTTCACGGTTTCATGCTCTTTCGCAGAAACCAATTTCCACGGTCGCCTAAGCGTTGAACCGCAGCGAGACAAAAGACGCTCGAAGATGCTGGAAAAAGGATGAGAGGAGAACTTGGCTATAGGTTCCGCAACTGAAAACTTGTTGGAGCTACATTTACAAAAAAAACATAAAACATAATGACCCAGGGCTTTCGGATTTAAACCTGTGTGCTTTTCTTGCCCGGATTGTTGACACAATCTACTGCTCGCAGCTAATGTTCGGCGTTGCCCCTCTCAAACACAAAGTGCTCGCAAACTCTACAGTGTCTTTGCAAAGTTTCTTTGCCCATGTGGATTTTGCTCTTGAAGAAACACTTTACATAAATCCAGGGCAGTTCCAAGGCTGCTGATAGACCAACGCCTCTGTTTCAACGTGTCAACAGCTTATTGTCCACGCAAATCATCACTTTATGCTTGCGATTTTCCGAGTGAGGCATCTGAGAGCAACCCTGCGAAACATTGGCTGCACATGCAAAGATGCCGATCCACTCAATGCAGTTGTATGATGTTCAACGAGGCATTCTTCATGTATGTCATCACCACAACGACCAGAATACCAACGTATATTGTCTCAAACAACAAGTGCGCGGGAGGAGCAGGCCATGAGTGTTCTGTGGGGTTGTTTTCACTTTGTCGTACCGTACCCATTGTCACCACCTGGGTGTCACCAAAATGGCACGCCATAGACCATGCAATCGACAAACGCATGGAAAGGCACCTGGCACTGAGAACTGGTGGACCTCTCCCCTCCCCGCCCTGATTAATTGAAAAGACTACCTCTGAAAGGTTACTTGCTACCTACTGCTGAACATGAGAGGAACAAAGGGTATTAGGGACAAATGTTGGCTTAGAAGGCTAAACTTTGTCAGGCATCTCGGCAAGTCCAAACTACGGGAATTCACTTGAGGGGCCTCTTTTAGGCCGCCTGATGAGTTGCTCGCTGCTAGCTGACCAAACACCATGCGATCTGAGCCAAGGGGCCCTCGATCGTCACAGGCTTCGCGTTTGCATTGCAGTGTGTGAGTAACCACACGTCTCTTCCAAACAGCTTGATACAGCCTGACCTGTCCCATATAATTAGACAGGAACAGTTTCTTGTGAATCTTGTGGCCAACCACGAGGTAATTCACGGCAAGTCAGGATTGAGCCTTCTCAGGCAGGCGTTGGAACCGGCTTTGCCCAGCTGGTGGGCTGCCAACGCTTCCGTGTCCGAACACCGCAGAAAGTGCACTGCCTGCAGCAAGTTCACGGATGTAGTTGGCGTTGGTTATCGTTGGTTTATCTTGGCTTCTGGGAAACTCAAAGAAATGGCCTCCAACCTAATAGCAATGGCCTCCAACCTAATAGAACACTCAGAGAAACTAAGTCACAAAAATTCAGCTTCAAACATCCACTCCGAACCTTCATAGGCTTCGTGCGAGCTTTGTGAAACTGCCGTCCAAGGCCAAAAGTTCAGAGTACGTGCCTCCGGAGCTCAACGATGCAATAGATGCGCAACAGCGGCGCAATGTTAATGATGCAACCAAGAAGTGTCTGTCTTATCCTAGTTTGCCATCGCATACAAGCACGTTTTCACCTGTGCCCGCCTTGTTCTAGCAGCTTGCCTTGGTTCACGTGGTGAGCTTTCTTGCACGTCTGGTCAAGATGTCAGGCAAATGATATGACATCACTACATCCGTTGCAAAGCGGATCTCCGCCCATGCTACTGGGATCTGTCAAAACCTGTGCAGTGGGGGAGTCCAAAGGCCTCTGATGGAGGCCAAACGACGTTCTTGCTACGTTCCTAGTAGCGTCCTTGCTCCGACTGCCAAGCTACCGCCATTCAGCACGAAGATCTGGTCCTCAGATCTGGAAGTGCTGGTGCTTCTCTCTTCAGTCGGGCTCAGACCAGGTACTCACAAAGGGTTTGTGTTTGTGCCTGTATTGGGTCGGAAAGCAGGACCATGACTTCTGCACAATTTGTGGGACGAGCCGGGTCTAGAATGGTCTAGAAACCGCTTTCGGCCAACAGTAACAATGTGGGTCTCTGGCGTAGTCTGACCCACCGGTGCTAGATCAGGCCGAGCATCGGCATTTCGAATGGTAGAGAGGCGGTGCGCCACTGTGATCGTCGTCTTTCCGACTCGCGCATCCTAAACCAACGCGACCGATATTTGAGTGGAGAATGCGCAACATGGGAAGAGCGGAGAATGCGCAACGTTCATCAATAGTCCACAGAAAGAAGTTAGCATGGTGATGGGGCATAATGCCAAGCGCAACTGATGTTCAAAAAGTATTGTAATCTACTTGTAATGCTCTGAGAACACTCCCAGATACTCCCAGGGCCAGGGTGAACTTAGCTAGGCTCAGTCCCAAGACAGCCTGGAAAAACGCATTCCCTCGAGGCGTTGGATGCTTGCTTGGGTCACCGTATCATGGCTGACGGGCAACTGGATACATTCAAGTGCTCAGAAGGAAAAGAAATTCATAGAAATTCACATGGCGTCACCCAAGCCCACCTGCATGGCTTCTTGGACCAGCCGTTCTGAAGAGCTATCCAGAGCACTGGTGGCCTACAGCAAATCAGAACTCTCAATGCACATGTCCAAAACGGCTAAAAGCAACATAAAAACCTGTCGGCCTCGTCCAAGAGTAGGACCTGTGGCCGGCGTAGGAGTGCCCGTGCAAGAGCACAGCGCTGCTTCTGGCCGCCACTCAGTTTTTCCTGAAGAACTTCCGCACTAGGAGTAAGGGCATCGCTACTAGGGGCTCCTGGCATCGCTACTAGAAGCAAGGACGCTACTAGGGGCTCCTGGCCTTACTCCTAGAACCTAGGAACAAGAAGCTAAGGAACAAAGGGCATCGCTTACTAGTAGCAAGGACCAATTGCTTTTTGTTTCAGGGCAGCGGCAGACGGGATCCCGCTTTTGACCTTGACGCTGCAGCCACATTATGGCGCCACTTTCCTAGTACTGCGACGTTACATTCCCTGACGCCACATTCCCCCCTGACGCCGCATTACCCCCTGACGCCGCATTCTGGCGCCGCATTCCCTGACGCCACATTACCCCCTGACGCCACATTACCCCCTGACGCCGCATTCTTCCCTGACGCCACATTCCTCCCCTGACGCCACATTACTCCCTGACGCCACATTTGACGCCACATCCCCTGACGCCGCATCCCCCCCTGACGCCGCATTCCCCCCTGACACCGCATTCTGGCGCCGCATTCCCTGACGCCACATTGCCCCTCTGACGCCGCATTACCTCCTGACGCCACATTGTGGCGCCACATTCCCGGACGCCGCATTTGCCCGTGACGCCACATTACTCCCTGACGCCGCATTCTGGCGCCGCATTCCCTGACGCCACATGGCCCCTTTGACGCCGCATTACCCCCTGACGCCACATTGTGACGCCGCATTCCCTGACGTGACAGGACCCCGTCTGATGCTCCAAACTGCACGAAACAGTTCTTCGTAGCAGGGGCCGTTTTGACACTGTTGAAGCAGCAGGCAACCCCGACACATGTCCAAGATATGGCAGAACACACAGCGCAACAATTGGACATTGCGTTGTATTAAAAGGTAAGAAGCCCCCGTACCGCGCACGGTATGATTGAACATAGCCTTCCTACTTAGCTCAACGTACCACTGAAACGGGACTGGGCACCCTTAACAGTAAACTTGTGCGTTGAAGCTCTTGTTCGCGCAAATCTGCACTAAACTCTGCCACTCCCATCACCCTGACATAGGCTTCAGATGATACAAAACGCCAGGCATCCTTGAGTCTGGGTTGAAATGAGGCCTTCAACTTAGCCTCCAAATGGGTCCAGCGCGTCCAACAGAAGTTTGTCGACTATTCGGGTAAGTCACGTCATGGGGACACATGCGCAAAACCTTCAAGATAAGTATGAATGGTCTGCTCTCAGAATGCAATCCCCCCATGACAAAGGCTGGTTTTTTCTCCAAACCATGTGTATATCACGCTGCGCCGGCAGCTGCCATCACTTCCATTGGGGATGGTACCTGATATAACATGATGAGAGTCAGGGAAGAAAAGCAACAATACAATACAACTTATCTATTTGATCATGTCTGTCATGACCCTTGCATTTTTCATCAATGGATTTGGGTCCAATTCATTGGACCTTGCAAACCACAAAATCCTTACAAACAAGGCCATCACCGGCACAACAGCGTCGAAATGATTATTTTCGGCGCTGCCACGATAACGCTACTTTTTTCGATGCGGCCAGGACCACTGCGGGAATGCGACCTTGGATTTCCGGTCAGAAGGTCCTGGTGGTACCTATTTCAGTCTATCCTTTGTCATGTTCACCATCCACCAGCTAACAAACCCGGACACACACTCCACAGCTGTGCGTGTCTTCTGTAATATGTATGTTGTAGCAATGGCAGTCGTTAGTCAGGGGCCGTCTGGGAGGCAAACCACAAATCTATGGTCCAGCTTTCATGTTTGACAAACAAAAGTTGATGTTCCAACGTTCCAGTGTGTTCAGGAGGAAAAGCTAGCAAACAAAAACCACCCCGAGATATCCCAAGATATCGCAGCACAAACTCCATGAATGGATGTAACATGATGTAACAACTGTACCTTCTCTCTTGAAGACAAAGAAGGTTCCAGGATTGTGATGGATTCTGTAGGGTGGGCTTGAATATCTTGAATGATGCTTTTTCGATATTGTAGCCACAGGACAGCATCTGCCAGGTGCATCGATCGGTTGATGCAAAACACACATCTGAGGCCACGGGTAGGGCATGGGAAGGTGTTTCCTTGTCCGGAAGGAATGACATGAAGAGACTTCTGCGGAGTTTAAGAGTCTGGGTGATGAATATGCAAGATTGGTTTCTTATGTAGACCCTAGGTGTTCTCTCATGTCTAGGCTGTGAGGAAGTCTGAGATTGTGGATTCCAGCTCCTTTGAATTCGGTGTTTGGGTTCAGGGATCACCTGCAACATCATCATGGAACTGCTCAAAGGACATGAAAAAGCACACAGACAGACATGTGACATGTGCGTGTTTCTGGATGCACAAACAAAGCTCCCGCAAAGCCAAATCTCCCAGCAATGTCCGCATCGGCCGGATTGCACTGAGATCTCCGCACCCTGTAGCGAGGCCCATAGCGCTGCTCCCGGCCGGTGCCATCCCAAAACTAGAGAACCACAACGAAGACCCAAACGTGCATGTTCAGGGGGATTCAGCCCCATGTTGCATCTGTTTAAATATGTTTCAAAAATCCGGCGATCGGTCCCAATCCCGAACCCCAAATCCATGGGGGAAAAAAGATGGAAAAAGGATCACTTAGGACATCCCTGCGGACGAACTCCCAGTCCCTGCGGTCAACTTCCACCCTCGGAAGACCCTCAGAGTACCGACTGGCATCCATGGCACCCATGGCATCTCCAGATCTCCTCCTCTTCGCTATCCATGCCGACCAATGGCTCAGCTCACAGCTGTGAGCCCAAGAAGCAATGGCCATGATGATCATGACGGGATGTGCAAATCTTCGGGTAACTACTATAGCCTATAGCCATAAACAACGGCTGCTGTGGAACGCAGACCATAAACATGCTACCTCCACGTACATGGCAGCACATGAAGCGGCAATCAAAGATTTCTGCTGCTATAAACTGCATCTTCAGCCATCGGCACATATCTGCTCAATCCGATCCAACATTGCCATCAGAATTCGTCTGCGGAAAGCGTCTTCGGGGTCTAATTCGTCTTCGGGGTCTAATTCGTCTTCGGAGAATTCGTCTGCGGAAAGCGTCTTCGGGGTCTA